ATAAAAATAAACACACGTTTTTCAACCACTCGAACGGCGCGGCGGTTTATTATCATTATACATTTCCCTCCCCCCGAGTGGCCCGATCCCGGCTCCTTGTCCGGGGTCTGTTAAACGTCCGCCAAACTCTTGAAACTCCAAAAGGAAATCCGATATGAAATCTCGCGCGCGTGTTATAATGGTACGTATAGTTGTGCGCACAACATTACACTTTTATAAATTAATGCGCGACAACGTGCGGCCCGAAACGCGCGTGCGTAAACCGCGTCGGGTTCGGGAGTTTTCAAAACGAGCGCCGAAACACGACACGCTGCACGGTATCGTATCGTGCATAATAATAGTCAACGCGCGCGTAATCGTCCGGACACCATCGCTGGAACGTAATAAATCGTAAACGCTTTTATTTTTAGTCGGTCCGCGTGCATTCGAACGACGTCTACCGAAACATTTTGGGCGTCACTTAGTGTCGTTTGTCATTGGCTACGTCACAATAATTTACAAGATTTTTCGCGCGCGCGAAACCAGTTTTGTTTTCCCGCTATTACACGCGCAGCTTCGTTCGGACAAAATCTACGACGGGCGGTTTTTTCCACGCGCCGTACCGATAAGTCCACGTACACGCGCGATTTCGGTACGTACACCTGTATCGGCGGGGCCTACGGTACATTCGATTTCGGGGGGCACACTCTCTTTTTAATTTAATTGATGGGTTTCCATAGTCAAAAAAAAAAAAAAAACAAAATAACAATAATAATAACCCTCGTGGGAAACGTCGGTCTTTATACGCTACCTGACCGTACTACACGTTTACATTGTTTATAAAAATCGACGCGGACTGAAAATGATTAACACGAAACAACTGCGAGTAAAATTCTAAAATTTTAGGCTATTTCAGGCCCCAGTGATTGCCGGCCGCTCTGACCGTGAGAATCGCAAATCGTTTTTCGTCTCGCGGCGTGTAATATTATCTCCCGTTATGGTCATTTTTACATATTTCGCGCGATATTTTCCGAGACGCGGTCTCGTACCGGCGGCCCACTACTCTGCCTACACTACGCCCGTGAAACTGCGATAAACATTTAAACGGGACGCGCGTACGAAGCCGACAAACGAACGAGTAACGAACAGTAGCTGCGTACTGTCGGCGGTTTCGCGCGCGCGTCGGACCACACACACCGTAATCGCGGTGTCATAATAGTCGATCGGATGACATTACACCGCGGGTTCGTGAACGAATTTAAAAAAAAAAAAAAAATATCACATTAATATTTGCCGGGCGTGTACACCGTGGCCGCGTTTATCATGGTTTTCAACGCGTCGAAACCGAACAGTGTTGGCGCGTCCGCGGTGTTATTCTGTTGCGAGCACGTTTTGTTGATGACAATCGGCCGGCGCGCCGTCATGGGAACGTCACGATTACGCGGCGCGAAAACCCCGCGCGCCTGTCACGATAATATTTTTTTCGAATTTTTCACCTTGGTACTCCGTACTGTAATGCCCCGGGGACGCTCGTCCGGTGGTTTTCTTTTTTCGCGGTATTTCCGAAAGCGAACGAACCGCGCACCGCGGAATTTAGCGTTCCGGCCGTTGTATCGCCTAAAAAGCCGCCGCAGCGGCCGTACCTTTTGCGGGATCTCGTATTTGTATCATTTCGATTTCACTGCCGGACCGCGGCTAGCTTTTCATGTCGCAGCGACCCGCGGTGCACGGCGCGCTCCGGTTTCCGCGGCAAGTTTCGGAATTCCGGCCGGTCCGTTCGGACGGTGTTTGGCCGCACCGCCGGGACATCCGCGCCGATCCGTACCCGACGGCCCGTCGGTTTGGCATTCGATTTCGCCCGATCCCATCCCGTGTACTACACAACACCAGTAATAATGTAACGCGTACGCGCGAAACGTGAGCGTGGACGTTTCGAACACCGCGACACGCGATCCGCGGGGCACGCGTACGGATCGTGTCGTTAGGTGGGTGTTCGCGGGGCCGGGCACGGGAAACGCACAGTCTCGGAAAACAATATTATCGCGGGCGGCACGCGGTCGCGCCGCCAACGGATAACGTAAAATTCAAGACACTCTTCCCGGGGTGAGCGAGTCGCGCGCGCGACATTTTCGTCGGGTGCGCCGCGCCGTCGTGGTCGGCCGTCGCGGGCGCGTTTTCCCCGTTGACGATGATAACGCACGCGCGGACGAAATTCCAAAGAGATTATTATTATTATTATTATTATTATCATCATCGTTACCGTCGCTGTACGAGGAGGTCTCGGGTCTCGCGCGCGTCCCACGCGGTATTAAAAACGGTAATTCAACCGCCGCGAGGGGTCGCCGAGACGCGGACGTCGTCTGGAATTTCGCGCGGTCCGTTCGCGGCGCGACAATACGATAAAACAACCGCCCGTAAAACGATAATAATAACGCGACGTATTTTATTGTGCGGGCGCGCGCGCGCTCCATTCGGGCCCCGCGGTCTATTAGCGAAATTAAACCGGGAAACGCCGAATTTACGGCGCTTAAAGCCCACTCCGCGAGTTTTTGCGCCCGAAGTTTCCGACAAAAACCCGACGCTTTACGGCCGCGGCCCCCGTAATAACGTAACGCGGCGAGCCGTCCGAGCCGCCCGCGCCCATCCAACCGCTCTCCGGACGCCGCGCCATTAGCCGAAATTGCGTATTCGGCCGCGTAACCTCGTAATCCCGCGTCGTCGCCGTACGCGCATTCGACGTGACGCGCGCGGCCGCGAACTCTTCCGGGGCCCCGTAGCGCACGCGGGTGTAATTAACGAGTCCGTTAACGACGCCGCGGGAACGCCGGGACACTCGGACGGGCGTTTCGGGATTTCGCCGTAACCGCTCGCGCTGCGGAGTCCGCGTGGCGTGTTTCGCGTTCGGATCGACTTCGTCGTAATCGCTTTACTGTGGCCGACCCGTTATCGCGCTTAAGCGGACGTTACAGCGGGGCTGGCTTGATTTCGATCCCGGAGTCGAAAGTTCCTGTTGACAGAAATGTACAGAGAACAACATTCCGGATGGACTGCCAACGGGCCATTGTATTATGCGAAATACGCGGGTCCGCCGTAAAAGATACAGAAATCCTTAATTTTTTTAACGGTTCATAATCCGAAATCCCCGCCAAACTATCGTTCTCCACACGTTTCATAATAGGCACTTTGACGCTAAAATCGAAATCCTTAACTAGTTTTACTTGTTCCGCGTGAGCGTTGTTTTTGCATGTTGCCCACACCGAGTCGGACTGAGACAGTAAATGCGGGTGTAACGTCCTCTCAATGATCTGCCCGCGTTTATTGTCCGCTCGCGACGCGGGTATTGAATTTTATCACCGGGATATTTTCTCCGTTCCGACGGTCCGCTGTAAGCATATTTCGAAACCGATATCGCGAAATGGGTTTCCGCCGAACGGCGACGACGAGCGCGACGTTGATTTTTTTGATTTTCTACCCACGAAATTTTAACAAACGGCGATTTAATCGCCGTCGCTCGATAATTGTTATTATTATTGGCCCGCGTGTAGTTTCGATATAGGCACACTCGTAAATATACTCGCGCGTCCCGACGAGTTTCGATAATCATTTGTTACGCGCAATAATATTATAATAATATATCGGGTACGCGTATATGCCTTCTAGGTGGGTGGCTTTTTATTATTATTATTGTTGTTGTTGTTGTTTTTTTTTTTTTTTTTCTATATGATTGTTCTCCGGTCTATGTTAATCGTCGGCGTTATTTATTATAATATACGAGTGTTATTATATCGTACAACGGGCAGTCAGCGTAGTCGATAATATATTGTGCGCGGGTTACAAAAATCACGTATCGTAAACGGTCGCGGTTTATCTCGGTAAAAAATCACGCGCGCAACCGTCTCCCCGGCGGAACGGCGGGAGTGCCCGGGCAGTAGCGTGTATCGTAAAAAATCAGACGGTTGTATGGCTGGTAACCGACGATTTCGGTGTACCGCGCTCGGTTCGATTTTTCTCGTTCGGCCGGTGATGGTTTTTTTTTTTTTGTTTGTAGCAACAGAAACGGCTCTATAGCCCAATATCGAACGTTTGCAGGGTCACGTATTGTACTATACTTGTGTACGTCATAATACGATTTCGTCGCCGTACGTTTTCCGCACGTTTTCAAGCACCTGCGCTTATATTTCTACGAGAAAATCTCCGCGACGTAAAATTCCGTTTAGCCGGTACCAGTGGCGTAGTGTCGGGATTATTTTTCGTATCGGGGTGTTTTCGTATTGTTTTTAGATGTGACTTTGTATCTCTTATTGTGCGCGCGTAACACCCACATAGTGCGATACATACTTGTCATCTGTACGTTACACAACGCGTATCTCGTAGAAATCTGCATAGCTGCGTACGGTCAAAATTATAATTTTCGGTATAAATATATATAAATGTGTGTGTGTGTGTGTGTGTGTGTATAGTCGAAGGGAAGTGTTTGAACACCAAAACTCCCCTCCCTCCCCCCCTCCCCCTTCTTCGCTACGCCACCGGCCGGCGGTACAATCAGTTATGCATACGCGTTTACGCAAAAAGAATAATACACAAGTACGGCGCACAGCGTGTACAAAACCGCGCGGACCGCGTACATGTATCCACGCGCATTACAATAAAGTATTATTATTGTTATTTTATATTTGGCGCGACAAAAACTCTTATTGTATTCGAAAGTATCGCCCCGTATATATTATTACATGTATACAGTTGTTTCGTACTTGTGTATAACAACAATAATAATAATAATAATAAAATATATTTCCGTGGCGTCACGACGAAAAACGTCGTATTATAATATTATCTCCTCTCGTCCGGGCTTCCTGCGATAATACCATACGAACACGTCGTGACGTTTACGCGCGTGTATCGAGTGCGTATAATAAATATCGTCTTCGAGGCGGCGGCGCTGGCGGACCGCAGTTATCTCGGTTTCGTATCGGAAGTCCATTGGCGCCTCGGAAAAATAGCTGAAAATCGTGTTTCCTCCCTCTCTCTCTCTCTCTCTCTCTCCGTATATATACATATACAATAATAATATATATAAGAGAGAGAGAGAGAGAGAGACAAATAATATATCGTATAGCGTAAACGCGCGTGTATATAGCTAATATTATTGCGAGTGCGGACGGACTGACGGGGATCGTGGGGAGGGGGGTGGGGGTGAAACGCGGATAACTCGAAAAAAAAAAAAAAAAAAAA